CCGCGCCACGGAATAATGATGTACAACCGGCCTCGAGGCGCTCTGTGCAGCTTGATTGGCCTCAATGGCAGGAGAATAACCGAGAGTTTATTGCTTCTCTTCTGGTGATCTTTGCTCCCAGCTGTTCTGTCGGGGAGGCCTGGATCCCCACACTGCATGTGAGGAGCCATGGGCTGCTGGCAAGGTGCTGAGCACAGCCGGCTCCTGGGATGGGGCTATGCTGTTATGGGGTTACATCCCCCCAACCTCTGCCCAAGGCAGGCAATGAGACCTGGGCACAGCATGGGCTCCTCTTCCCCTCCTCCTATGGGTGCAGTGAGCTCCTGGAGCAGCACCCTTGGCCTCAGCACCCAGCCATACAGAACAGAGAGCACCCATCGGCTCGCCCCTTGGCACCACATCCTCTTCACCAGCACCCAGAGGACCCAGCGTGCGCTGCAGCGGCAGCGATGGTTTCTTCCCACTGAAATCCTGCTGCCTTGGCAGGAAAAGGGAGCACGGAGCACTTTTACACCCAGAGAGCTGCTGGCGATGGCCAGCCCGCGGTGCCATGCCCAGAGGGCAGAGGGCAGACGGCTGCCGGGGATGATTTCCCTTCCTTTTCGAGGAGCCGTGCTGCAAGGGGCCGGATTTATAAGATTTCCCCATCATTAAAATGTAAATGAAAACAGACACCAAAACAATCTGAATTTCCAGCCGAGTTGCTCTTGCTTAATATTCTACCCCGAAGGGGGATGTGCGGAAGCAACAACATTTCAAAGGGAATCATTAAAGAAGGCAGGCTCAAACTGCGTTTTCATCAGATACCGGGGCAGAGCCCAGCACTTGGGGTCTCGGCCATCCCATCGCTGCTGGAAAGGATGAGCAGGAACGGCTCTGGGAAACAGCAATGGCCAAGCTGGGGCTGTGCTGGGGATGCACTGGGGCTGTGCTGGGCTGTACTGGGTTGTGCTGGGTTGTACTGGGCTGTGCTGGGTTGTGCTGGGCTGTGCTGGGTTGTACTGGGTTGTGCTGGGTTGTGCTGGGTTGTGCTGGGTTGTGCTGGGCTGTGCTGGGTTGTGCTGGGCTGTGCTGGGATGTGCTGGGCTGTGCTGGGTTGTACTGGGTTGTGCTGGGTTGTGCTGGGTTGTGCTGGGCTGTGCTGGGTTGTACTGGGTTGTGCTGGGCTGTGCTGGGCTGTGCTGGGTTGTACTGGGTTGTGCTGGGTTGTGCTGGGCTGTGCTGGGTTGTGCTGGGCTGTGCTGGGCTGTGCTGGGTTGTGCTGGGCTGTACTGGGCTGTGCTGGGTTGTGCTGGGTTGTGCTGGGTTGTGCTGGGCTGTGCTGGGTTGTGCTGGGGCTGTGCTGGGTTGTGCTGGGTTGTGCTGGGGTTGTGCTGGGTTGTGCTGGGCTGTGCTGGGCTGTGCTGGGCTGTGCTGGGCTGTGCTGGGTTGTGCTGGGGCTGTGCTGGGCTGTGCTGGGCTGTGCTGGGTTGTGCTGGGCTGTGCTGGGGATGCACTGGGTTGTGCTGGGCTGTGCTGGGTTGTGCTGGGCTGTGCTGGGCTGTGCTGAGCTGTGCTGGGGCTGTGCTGGGTTGTGCTGGGTTGTGCTGGGCTGTGCTGGGTTGTGCTGGGTTGTGCTGGGCTGTGCTGGGCTGTGCTGGGCTGTGCTGGGTTGTGCTGGGTTGTGCTGGGTTGTGCTGGGCTGTGCTGGGTTGTGCTGGGTTGTGCTGGGTTGTGCTGGGCTGTGCTGGGTTGTGCTGGGCTGTGCTGGGTTGTGCTGGGTTGTGCTGGATTGTGCTGGGCTGTGCTGGGTTGTGCTGGGTTGTGCTGGGTTGTGCTGGATTGTGCTGGGCTGTGCTGGGTTGTGCTGGGTTGTGCTGGGCTGTGCTGGGCTGTGCTGGGCTGTGCTGGGTTGTGCTGGGTTGTGCTGGGTTGTGCTGGGCTGTGCTGGGTTGTGCTGGGTTGTGCTGGGTTGTGCTGGGCTGTGCTGGGTTGTGCTGGGCTGTGCTGGGTTGTGCTGGGCTGTGCTGGATTGTGCTGGGTTGTGCTGGGTTGTGCTGGGCTGTGCTGGGCTGTGCTGGGCTGTGCTGGGTTGTGCTGGGCTGCCTGCCTGGAGGGGGGGGATCATGTCCTGGTGCAGTCTGGCTCTGGCAGCGCAGCCCAAATGTAAGAGATGTGGCCAAGTACCAAGGGAGGGGATCCTGCCCCTCTGCTGTGCACTGGGGTGACCCCCCTGCAGCCCCGATCCAGCTCTGGGGCAGCAGCACAAGAGGGACCTGGAGCTGCTGGAGAGAGTCCAGAGGAGGTCATGGAGATGCTGCGAGCGCTGGAGCAGCTCTGCTCTGGAGCCAGGCTGAGAGAGCTGGGCTGGGTCAGCCTGGAGAAGAGAAGGCTCCTGAAGGGGAGACCTGAGAGCAGCTCCAGTGCCTGAAGGGGCTGCAGGAAAGCTGGAGAGGGGCTTGGGACAAGGGATGTAGGGACAGGCCAAGGGGAATGGCTTGAACCTGCAGAGGGGAGACTGAGCTGAGCTCTTAGGCAGAAGCTCTTCCCTGGGAGGGTGCTGAGGCGCTGGCACAGGGTGCCCAGAGAAGCTGTGGCTGCCCCATCCCTGGCAGTGTTCAAGGCCAGGTTGGACACAGGGGCTTGGAGCAAGCTGCTCCAGTGGAAGGGGTCCCTGCCTGTGGCAGGGGTTGGAGCTGGAGGAGCTTTGAGGTCCCTTCAACCCAAACCAGTCTATGAATGTACCCCCACAGTGAATTCCCCATTCCCAGTTCCCTGTTGCCTCCCATGTCCGTGCTCCTCAGCTGTCTGGACCAGGCTGTGCTGCTCTGTGCCAGATAAGGAGCTGCATTGAAAAGGCTCCTGGATGCTGCAGCCAGCCAGAGCCCCCCTGCATCCCACCACCCTCCCGGACCTCCCAGGCAGCAGCTGCACGTATGGATCCTACAGGGGCTGAGATCATCCCTCCGGGCAGCCTCACTCCATGCATGGGGAGCAGTGGGGAGGGACGGTGGCGGTGGGACCCGGGGTGCAGAGCCTGGGTGCAGCACTTGGGGAGAGCAGAGCAGCCCTGGCCGGGCTCCCCCTGCCAGTCAGGACCAAAGGAAATCCCTTTTCCCCCTGCAAACCAAACACAGGGATCTGGAAGTCTCCAAGCCACAATAAACAGGAGATCCAGGGATGCTTTAAGTGTGTCCCATCTCTGGATGTTAATGGCCTGAGATCATTCATTCTCTTTTGCGCTTTGATGGCATCAGTTATCATTCGATTTTATTTTTAAAGCCTTTTTTTTAAGCCCACAGAACACTGGAAAGGGTTAGGACGGATTCCCATTACAAGGTAAAATATTTCCCTCCAAAGCCTCACAAAGACTTGATTTCTTTCTGTAAATGCAATTATTTTAACTTTCACAGAAAGGCAGCATTTGCCAAATCTCGCTTTGCGCAGTAAAACCAGCCCAGTGTTACCGGGATTTAATAGCAAAACAGCAATAAACTCAGAGGGGACCTTAAAAACAAAGGGCCCTGTCTGCCGTGCATGGAAATTCAAACTCGCATGCCCCCGGGTCCAGAGGCAAAGCAACCACATGCAAGCCCCAGCCCCAGTGTGGCTCCCCACTTCTGCTGGGACAGTGGCCTCATCCAGAGCCCAGCGGCAGTGCTCAGTCTGCCCCCCAGGCCCGGGCGAGGTTTGGACCTGGAGCATCTCCCCTGAGAGCCCAGGTATCCATCCGCAAGATGTGAATCCAAGCCCTTATCTGTGGAGGCTTGGAAATACAGAGGATGGAGACGTTCTTGGTGTCATCCTCACGTACACCCCTGTCCCAGCCCTGAGCTGGTGCCCGCCCAATGCACCCATCCCAAAGGTTCGGGGTGCACGGAGGGAGCTGAGCTCTGGAGCTGCCCTGGACTGTGAGTGCCTGGGGGGGAAAGAGCAGGGCCCTGGCTCCCCCAGGCTCTGCCTGTTTGTGTCTCCATTGGTTTTCCCCTTGCAGCTGGTCGGGTTTTTAATGAATTCCCAAATCTCATTTGGGATCCAGAGCCGGGCTCGGAAACCCCCTCAGTGCGAGGCTGATTCCGCACATCAGCACTGGGCACCTCAAAGCAGCTCTGGGGGCATGAGCATCCCCATCCCCGAGGAGGCAGCCTCTTGCTTGCGGGGCACAGCCGCCCCTTTGACGTGCTCCCGCGGTTGTTCTTTCGTTCCTCGAGCAAACAATCCGGGTTTCCACAATATTGACCTTGGAAACCATCGTTTGTGCAAAGCATTCGACCAAGATCAACAGAGACCCCCTTGGCCTCTCCGCGGGGCTGCGAGGTCTCGCGCTCCCCTAAACCCAAATGGGGCTTGGAGCTGAGCACGAAGCCACTGAGGGCTGGGGACAGACCCTTAGGCAGCCCCAGCTGCAGGGCACGTGTAAGGATAGGAAACCACCCCCCCTCTGCCCTCCAGGAACTGCCAGCCCAGCCCCTGTGCCTGTTGTAAGAGGGGCTATCGCATCCCTGAAGTCCTGCAGCTTCCCAGGCTGTTAAAGGAGAAGCAGGAAGGGGGGGGGGAAGGTGAAGGAAGGTTCAAAGGCCTGCTGCAGCTCTGGGTTTTTCATCTCTCGTTAATCTCTGCAAGGCCTGAGGCAAAGTCACCTTTGGGTCAATACTCAGGTGTTTTTATCTGCCATCCCCATCTGCCCTCAGCTGCTCCCCATCCCATCCCATCCCATCCCATCCCGTCCCATCCCAGCCCTCCCGATTAGCGGGTCACAGGGCAGGGTGTTCAGGTGCCTGGGGAATCTGGTCCCCCCCCCCAGTTCAAGCCATGCTCTCCCACGGTTAGAGGGCCAATCCTGCACCCCAGGACTGCTGTGTGCCCAGGGGTGCAGGGATGGGAGGAGGGTGCTAAGACTGTGCATGACCCACGCTCTGTGTGCTCCAGCACCCTGTGGTGAGCAAGCATGGACCCACTGCATGCCTGTGGAGTGAAAGGGAGGGGACATAAAGGAACAAATCCACCCAGGGCTCAGCTCCTTCACCTCCGAGGCTTTTATTAAGGTGTGCAACATGCCCACGAACACATGCTTGGGATAACAGAACACAGGCAGCAGGCACTGGATATGAACAAGCAGTGGTAGCAAAGCAGTGCGGGTGCGATGCTGCCGGATCCCTCTGGTCCCCAGCACCGGGTGCAGTGGCCAGCACAGGTTGCTTTGAGCCCAGGGTACCCCTTGCCACCACAACGTCCTTTTGGAAGCAGAGCTCTGCAGATCTCAATGTACCCACAGGCTCGGGCAGCAGCAGAGCCTGGCCATGCCCTGGTGTGGGATGCAGAAGGCTCGGTGCAGCCCTGGCCCTACCGGTCACAGCCTGGCCATGGCCGTTTCTTTGTGGTGCAGCAGCATCTCGTGGCCGGTGGAAGCCGGGACCCTGTCCCGGTGAGGATGCAGCCACCCCTCAGCTCCACTGCGAGGGCAGGAAGAGGTCTGGGACCTCAGCACTTCCTCATCGCCCTCCTTTTGCAGGTGAGAAACAAAATCAGTGCCTGGCTTTGCACAGGGGCTACAGGCAGCAGCACGGTCCCCTCCATACAGCGAAACCACCCCACTGCCGCCCCATCCACTTCAGCAACTTCAACAGAACGCATGTCCTACTAACAGTTAAACACAGCAAACACAGCACCTCCACTGCAGTCTCCAGCTCTCTGTATTCCGTACGCAGTCCTCACTGGGTAAAATGCAGAAATGGATTCTCTTTGCTTCCAAATGATAAATTAACATAAACACCAACAGCACAAGTTTGCAAGCAGCTTCCTGACCATGCACCGTGTTAAAGCATCTCCCACGACAGAGATGTGCACCTACACACTGCCTGTAAGGACAGTTCGACATTCCCTCCTCCCTAACACTGAATTAAACCAAAAGAACACGATTTGAACCCAGCATCCTGAGGTCACTTTTCAGAACCAGGTTGTTTTTTTCTCCCTCTCCATCTCTCTGCAGGAGTTTAGATCTCATCTGCAAAGCTTTCTCATGTGCTTCATTAACCAGTGCACGCAGGCGAGTCCGGAGGAGCAGCTCAGGACGCCTTGCCCACACCACACCACTGTTTCTGTACATGCACGCTGGTGTGAGTGTGATGAGGGGACAAAGTGAGCTTGTGCTGGTGGCCGAGCACATGCGGAGCTCTCTGCCCAGGTACACTGAAAAGCTCTGCTGCCCTGAAGCCCTCGAGGTGACACTGCACGGGGCTCACCGCAGGGCCTGTCCCAGCACACGTCCCGGGCTCATACAAGGGACCACAAATGAGATGTAAAAGATGAGCCTCATCGTGCTGGGCTCAGCAGACCCCAAGGTCCTGAGGTCCAAGCCGCACGGTCCCCAGACCAGCAGGACACGGAGCAGAAGGAAATGGATTCCCATGCAGAGGGAACGTTTGAGGATGCTCAGCTACACTGGAGAGAGACGGGAAGGACAAGGTGGGTGCCCTGGTGCCCAGCAGCACTCCGCACTGGCACGCAGCACGGAGATGCCACCAGCCGGGAGGGCACCAGTGGCACCTCATGGGCTGGCGGCGGCGGCACCGGCAGGGCACGCGGGGCCGTGCTGCATGCAGCGGATGAGCTCCTTGCGGTTATCCAGGATGGTGTCGAAACTCTCCTGCAACCGGTTCTGCTGGTCCACCACCTTCTGCTGGAGGCCGTGGATCCAGCGCAGCAGGGCCAGGCGCCGGTACATCACCAGCTGGATGTGGTGCTTCTCCTTCTCCCGCTCCTTGAAGCGCTCCTTGTCCTGGAGGTGCTGCACGGCCGCTGCCAGCACCGGGAAGAGGGTCCCCTGCTCCGGCTCGGACACCCCTGCCTGCGGTGGGCTCCTGGGGACAGGGACAGAGGTAGGAGGGTCCCAAGTGCTGCCGCAGGCGCTGTCGGGGCTGTCGATGCTGAGGGAGCTGCTGCCGTAGCCATTGTCCTCCACGGGGGAGCTCGGGCACTTGCCATAGCCCCCGGCTGCCTCCTCGCTGCCAGCGCTTTGCCCCCCGGCCCCACCGACCTCCGCTCCCTCGGGGGGGCTGCGCACCCCCTGCTCGGGGGGCTGCGGCCGCGCGGCGCCCAGGCTCAGGGGGGTGTCCCGGGCCCTCTGTCTCCGCGTTAATAACAGCAGATTACCCGATGGATTTGCCGTGTTTTCGCTCCGCCTGGAGCTCTCCCCGGGCGCGGAGCCCGGCGCTGCCCGGCTCCAGTTCTCGTTGCTGTCACACACCTCTCCCACGAAGTTGGAGTTGGAATCCTGTCCATGCCCGGCCCCGGGGGTGGCCGTGTCCAGCGCTGGGCCCCCCCGGCCCTGCCGGAACGGGGCATTCGCCGCAGGGCAGACAGCAAACATCTCGCTGGTGTCCTGCCTGCAAGAGAGATGCGGAGCCCTAAGACGCCTGGGGGTCCCCGGGCTGGCACAACCAGCACTGACCGGCTGCAGCAGGAGCAATATTCTCTTTATTTGCCTCTCTTAATGCTGCTGGACCCAAGTCACGGGCTTATCCCTTCCTGGCGTTTGGCTGCTGCTCTCAATGTGTCCTCAGGCAACATCATCCAGAGGTGAGTTCTCACCTGATGCTAAAGCCTGAGGCAGGGTCCCATCCACCCATCTCTCCTCCAGCCAAAACTCAGGCTTGCACAGCTTCCCTCGGTTCCTGCCTGAGGGCACTGCCAGCACGCTCTGCTCCAGCAACATCTGAGCTCCAAGCCCCTGTGTCCAACCTGGCCTTGAGCACTGCCAGGGATGGGGCAGCCACAGCTTCTCTGGGCACCCTGTGCCAGCGCCTCAGCACCCTCCCAGGGAAGAGCTTCTGCCTAAGAGCTCATCTCAGTCTCCCCTCGGGCAGGTTAAAGCCATTCCCCTTGGCCTGTCCCTACATCCCTTGTCCCAAGCCCCTCTCCAGGTTTCCTGCAGCCCCTTCAGGCACCGGAGCTGCTCTCAGGTCTCCCCTTCAGGAGCCTTCTCTTCTCCAGGCTGACCCAGCCCAGCTCTCTCAGCCTGTCGGAAGGGATGTGCAGATGCACCGGGGCACGGTACAAACCCGGTCCCATCCCCTCCGCCCTGCACCCCAGAGCTGGGTTTGGGGCACACCCTGCGGCGGGCAGGATGCCCAGGCCAGGAGCACGCAGCCCTGGAATCGCTGTTTGCAAGGATGGCACCGGCGGGACGATGGCGAGAACCGGGCGGGGGCTGAGCCCACGGGCACCATCACCTGCGCTGCCCAGGGCTGGGGGCACCGCTTCAACCCCCGGGGCGGAGGGGGGGGAACCCTGCACCCGCAGCCGGCCGAGCCGCGACCCCGCTCCCGGCTCCATCCGCTCCGCCCGCCCCGCCCAGCACTCACCGGGGCTCGGGTCGCTGCTGCCGCCGCCGCCGCCGCCGCCGCGGGTGGGAGCGGAAGCGGCCCCGCGTGGGGACGCGTCACGGCCGCACTTCCGACGGCGCCCGCGGCCCCCCTCTGGCCACGTTGAGGGGTGGGGGGGGAACGGGGCTGCGGGCACCGCATGGGAGCGTCCGTGCTCGCCCACAGCGTCCCGTGGGAAACAGCGCTGCTGCCTGCTTGGAACGGGAGAACCGCAGAGGTTCCGTCCTGCAGGGGGGCATGGATGGAGCCCCCCGACTCCCCCCCCCCATGCTCTGGGGCTGTGGGTGCATCCTGTCACTGCCAGGACACCCGGCTGTTGGCATCCCTTGGGTACCCGCGTCCCGTCCGTCCCGTGACCCTCAGCTGGTCCCCGGGAGGACGAGGGGGGGGGGCGCTGGGTGCTCAGTGGGGCCTTTATTCCTAGAGCCGGGGTGTCCGGCCGCTGGGAAAGGGGAAGGCTCAGCGACATCAAAGGGTTCCCGCGGGGGTCACATGAAGCCCCATGAGCGCTGCAGGGGATAACGGGGCTTTGTGTGGCCCGGGTGTGTGTTGGGGTGGGGGGCACGCAGCGGAAGGCGGTGAGACCGGTGGGAGCCGGGGCGGGGGCAGCCGGGGTGCTGCGGACTCCCTCCGTTACCCAGAGCTGCCTCGAGCAGCGATGATCTCACCTCCTGCTTGGTCCACCCCATATGGCCTTCACCAGCATCCCCTGGTAGCTCTGAGGGGAACATAGCGCTGTCATCCCAAGGGCTCCACAGACCAAGGCCACCCCATCTGAAGCCAAGGGCTCAGCATCTCCCACCCACCCCGAGCGGGAGGAGAGGGGATGAAGGTGCTTTCAGGGTGCACAAAGATCCTCTCTGAAGCTCTGGATTGTTGGAGGTGGGACTGGGGTTGAAGCACGACAAACTGATGTTCCCCCATGATGTTGCAAGGGTTCAGAGCAGTGGAATAATGCTAATAAGTGATAAATAGGTTCTTTTAACTTCCCATCTGCCTGGCAGGCCCCTAGGCAGCCTCTCCTGCTCCCGGCTGCTCCAGCCTCAAAGGCTTCAACACCTCCATCAAGGAGAAATTGGTGGGGCAGGAACGAGAGCTGTAACTGGGGCGCTTGGACTGCAGCACTCCTAGGGAAGCAAAACCTTCCTGCCACACAGGAAAGGCAGAACCCGGCTCAGACGTGTCTGTGAATGGGCAGGAAAGAATCTGGGCGAACAATGGGCTCAGCTTCGCCCTGAGCTGAGCATTTGCTTCTTGGTGCCCGTTTGTGGCCTGGTCTCAAAGCAAAGCAAAACAGCTCTCACTGAGAGCAAGGAGGAAGGATCCATCCGTTCAGGGACCTTCTCCAGCTGGCTGGGAGGAGGTGGGTCTGACACGGGCCCTTTTCATCACGGACTTCAACAAGCAAAACAAAACAGGAGTCTGGCTCCTGGGGTTTGCTCCTCTCATCCCCAGGGATGCCGGTGGGGCCACTGCCTGTGGATGTGCAGGAGCCTGCTCCAACCTGCGTTGGCTCCGGCTCCACTGGTGCTGCTGGGAACCTCCCCAGGCCATGGCAGGAGCAGGGCTGGTGCCAGGGTCGGGGAGGGATCCAGGAGCGGCGTTCACAGGGGTCTGTCTCGCTGGCCTTGGTTTTACTGGTACAGCTCAGGTTCCGGCCAGCACCCCCAGACTGGGATTTGATGGAGACCAGAGGGGTTTGGTGCTCACAATGAAAACAGCTCCGGTTCCCTGCGAGCCAGCTGCCCCATGGACACTGCCAGGGGGGACGGCTGTGGGGAACCCCAATTTATGGTGCAGGAGAGAGGGGACGTGGGGACGTGGGGACATGGGGACGGCTGGGCTGAGCCCTTTGCCGGCAGGAGGAGGGGGAAGGTTTGGAGGTAGAGGGGGCTTAGTGATGGATTTCAGAGTCCTCTTCCCCTCCCCTTTCCTTCCCCTGCTTTGTTCCAGAAATAAATCAAAAGCTCTCCCTCCAGGAAATTAAAAATCATTTGAGCAGACTGAGGCAGGACCTGGGGCTCCAGGGCTGGATCCTGGGCGAGATGAGCACCGCGCACCTCGGGGCTCAGAGGGGTCCAGCCCGACCCCCCGGAGCCAAGCCAGGACTTCCGCACCAGGTCGGCTCCCTGGCACCCTCCCCTTGGGCTCCGCGTTTGTCCTCGCTGCACCCGTGCTCAAAGAGTTAAGGGTGAAGCCCTGCGCTAAAAGGAAACGCCAGAAGACAGAAGCGCCCTGCAGCGCAGGCGGCCTCCCCAGCGGCTCAGCTGAGTCCAATAAGGGAGGAGGGAAAGCTCCCAAAAAGCTCCCAGAGAAATGAAAGCAAACAGCGTCCTGACCCCAGCGCTGCTGCCCCGCCGCTGACTCCCCTCTAATTGTGAACACATTCGGGTAAAGGCAAAGGGGGGGACACAAAGGAGGGGCCCCAGGGAGCTGGTGGCTGGGTGGGAGCAGCGGGGCTCAGCACTGGGTCAGCTGGGTGAAGACGTGGCCATGGGGGATGCTGATGGAGGACGGATGGGTGCAGGGTTCGTGGCCGTGGCACATCACGGGCTGTGAGCGGGTGCTCCTGGTGGGAACAGGAGCCACTGGGACCATTGCATTGCAGGGTTGGGGCTGCAAAACCTCATGTCAGGAGGGCTGGCAGGTCCTCCTGATGGAGAGGGGAGGATGCTCTAAAGGGTTTGTGCTCTTGGCCTCACTACATGTAAAAGCAGTGCTCTTATTTTCATAGATCTTGGTCATCTTTGTAGGCTGAGGAAAAGGAAAGCATCCCCAGGCTGTGCAAGTGCTCCTGCTCCTCTCCAGGGATGGGCTGGCAAAGTCACCGGCTTTGAGGTGGGAAGCAGGAGCTGAGCATCACTGCCAGCCTGGCCCTATTCCACCTTCATCCCTGTCCCCATCCCATCGTGAGGTGCCCTCACATGCAGTATCCCATCATCTGCATTTCCCACAGGTCCTGCGGCCGCAGGACCTGGGCTGGTCCCTGCTCTACCTGTAAAGCAAATGGTATTTCAATCTGAATCAAAGGCAGTGGCAGATGCACTGGATTTGGTGAAAAATGCCAGGAATCTGCAGCCAGATTGGATTTCAGGGAATCCTGCAGACTGTTCCCACAGGGCAGGAGGTCAGAGCCTGCACCCCCGAGGATCAGCCCTCGGGATGCACCAGGGGGAGGAAGAGGAGGAAGTGGAGGAAGAAATGGGGAGCCCAGCAGGGAGGTGAGGGAGGGATGAGCCATTGGGGTAGTGACACAGAGCCCCATCACTGAGCCGCCTGTGCCGGGGAGCAGCCTCCTTCCTCTTGGCTTTCCCCACCTCCCCAAAAAGGGGTTTATCTTGTTCAGGGGGATGTGCTCTGCCAGGAGTGGGGAGCTGCTGTCCTGCAGGCATTGCCTCTGGGGTTCATCCACCGCTGAGCTACAGGAGGGGAGTATCGATGCTAACTCCAGCCCTTCCATCAGAGCAGGGCCCAAGAAATCACCATTTCCTCTTGGCCTGTGAATCACTGATAAACCCCCGACAGAAAGGTCTCGTTAGGAAATTGTTTGGGAATCAGAGAGGAAGGGGGGAGGACAGGAGCTCACTGCCTCGGGGGTGGCTTTGCCCATGGAGTCACTTCCCTGTGCTGCAGGACCCTGCCTCTGGGTCCCTGTGATTGCTCCGGCCATGGGCCACATCCCCAGCCCAGAGCAGGGGCTCCAAGCTGGCAAATCCGAATCATGGAATGGTTTGGGTTGAAGGGACCTTAAAGCTCCTCCAGCTCCAACCCCTGCCACGGGCAGGGACCCCTTCCACTAGAGCAGCTTGCTCCAATCCCTGTGTCCAACCTGGCCTTGAACACTGCCAGGGATGGGGCAACACTTCCACTACTATAATAATAAATAGTCCAAATAATAATATAATAAGTAATACAATAATAATATACTAAAGGCAGAAACACCAATGAATGCTGGATTATGGCTCAGTGTGTGTTTGGGTGTGCTGTTGTCCTCACCAAAACCTAACCATTTCAAGCAAAAGAAGCCACTGCAATGAGCCTCCCCTTAGGAAGGGCTGGTGTAAGTAATTTGGAAGGGGCTGGTGCATTGAATTCAAAAGGGCTGGTGGAACAGGACCTACACAGCAAACAATCCATGCCAGCACTGTCCTTGTCCCATGCTGGCCCCCATCCTGCAGCACAGACCTCTTGGCAGTGATGGGACCATGCCCGTGGATGGAACAGTCACGGCAGCACGACCTCCTGCACCCCAACTGCTGCACACTTGTCCTGAAAGAGAAGAGCTCTGCATTTGGACCTCGTAATGCAGGAAAACTTCAGGATTTTGAATTTTCAGTCTTGGACACGAATCTGATGCATTCCATAAATGCCTTAATTTATCCCTTTGTCACAACATTCAATAAAGGGCTTTATTTCAGCTGCCCTGCTTTGATTAAGAACTGTAGCAGATTCTAACCTGAAGGAATCAACTTATATTGCCTTGGTGGAAATGAAATGTTTGATTGCAGAGAGAACTTTGTGATGTGGAAACTGCTCCAGTGGAGAACTTCGAGCAAGCTTCACCCGGGACAAGCCCAAACATCTGCGAGAATTCACTCCGAGCAAAGCTGGCTGAAAACGTGGAGTTCTGAGGGTACAATGAAGTGCCTGCCCACGTTGCAGCCGGGTGGGACAGTGGTGCCCAGGCTCTGCATCCTGCAGGTCCGGCTCCAAGGGAGGGATGGATCCTTTCCTTTCCCTTTCCTTCCTTTCCATGGCAGGGTGTTTAGATTTCCCTAGGAGAGAGGGCAAAGGGATGGAAAACAAGAAGGAAAACCAAAATCCTGTGGGTATTTGGGAGCAGGAGCACTTTTCCTTAGGGATGGCAGAGCGGGCGGCTGGCAGCCGGTGCTTTTCCGTGCTAATCCTGGGCTCTGCAGGTGCCCTGTGCTGGATGAGGAGCAGTAGCACATTTTTGAGGTCAGAAAGCAGAGTTTTCAGCAATTAGAGCGGGACGCCAAGATAAACCCCTG